TTTCATAGTACACAAAAATTCATTCCAAAAAATTACAGAGAAAAAAGAAAAATTACTACAAAAAAAAAATTGCAAGATGTTTGTGATGAAAACTCAGAGATTCAACATATTCCAATATGGCAATCATTGCTCATTTCGCAAATTCTCGAGCGCATTCAACGATGTCTCTCAAGCTCTTTTAGCATCTCGTTTACGAATGTGTTTAACCCATCCAATTGATACAATTCAAGTTCATGGAAATAATCGTCTATGTGATCTTGTTTCATCAGTTCGTTCATCAATTGCCGAGATTCTTGGAGTTCGCATCTCCTTTCCCATTTTGATACATTTTCTCTCTCCTCTTCGGTTATTTGCTCCATGAACTTCTCGTGCTTATCCATTCTTAGTCTTGTCACGAAATCTGGATAGTTGAGAAATTTATGCAGCCTCTCGCTGAAAATCGGAGGGGATGGCCACAACATTGCGTTGTCTTGTCCTAAATCGTAAAGACGGCGCCCGTTTTTGTGGATTATTATTGCAACCTCGACTCCACAAAGGGTGGATAGTTCATTTGCTTTGTTGACTAACCGGACTGTTTTTTTCTTAAATGTTTCATTTCGCTTGCTCTCGTTGGGTATTAGTTCGTGTTTCATCCTAGATTTTTGTTTTATTTTCACATGTAATTTTGGATATTGGATAATTTATTTATAGAAGATAAATGTATTCATTAATTTTTTTTGTAAGAGCTGTTATACTATGTCTCAATTTAGTCAAACGTTTGACCCTTAATTTCATAAATTTTTTTTGTGGATTATTATCCATACCTTGAAAAACAAGATAGGGAAAGAATAATATTGCTTACAATCAATAATTATTCAATATTTTGACGAATATTGAGATGATTGTATTAAATAAAAGTAATCCCAAATCAATTGAATAGTTTTCGTCAATTTTATTATGGTATATGGTAGACTACTATATATAATGTTCATCTCTATCTTATCATCAATTGATAGGGTCATAAATTCATTCAATATATTCAAATTTCAAATAATTATATTTTGATTAGGAAGATCATAACATGATGAGAAAATTGATTAATACTTGATATTTAAAAAATAATATGCAAGTTAATTTACGAGAAAGTAAAATAAGTTCAACCGTTGTTACCATATGAGAAAATAATTGATGTAAACATGAATTTGTGTATTAGAATTCATGTAATAGAGTTTTCCTGCATAAAATTTTGTTAAGTCTAGTTCCTCAAATAATTTTAATTAGTTTGATCCATAATTAGCACATAATTATTTCGTACGAGGAATCAAATTTCGTTAAATGGTACGAAATTGAAAATAAGTAATGTGGTGGAGTGCGGATAGAATTTGGAATTTGATGAAGCCCAAAAAGCCTTCTAAAAAAAATCATAACTAAAAAATGTAAATAGTAAATATATAATTAGTTTGATTCATAAATCAGATGCTATGATGATTTTTCGTACGAGGAATCAAATTTCGTTTGATATGATTATTGATTACAATTACAATGATAGAGCCAACTGGTGGTGGGGTTTATTGTTATAATACTATCATAGTTAAATCATTAATTAGTGATTTTCTTCTATATTCTTAATATTTCACCATAATATGAATAAAATCCTTCAGATTAAGAATTTAACAAAAGTTAATTTATATTTGTTTTCTTATTCGAGTAATTATAGCCCACGATGCGTAAAAAAAAATTGGAAAATCTTAAAGTATTAAGGATGATGAATGATGACACAGTGATACTACGAATTAAATAACAAGTTATGTATTGTGATTTTATTATAAACATACGGTTATATTCAATTCCGCATGATTTGATTATGTAATAAATTAGTTATTTTCATCTAACACTCACCTACGCTTCTCTTCGTTAGTATATATATGTGCTAATCGCAACGTCATAATCAAGCGTTCGTCGGGCAATTTCATCCATTATTTTTTTTTTAATTTCTTATAGATATGAAGACAGTTTATTCTATTTATAGTTATGTAGAAGAAAATATATCCAAAGGCGTGAATACACTGAATCTCTGAGTTTTCATCACAAACATCCTTCCTTTTTTTTTTTTTTTTTATAATTTAATATTCATCTTTTGATTAATTAAATTTAATCTAAGAGAAGTTTTGATTTTGTACGTTCTAGGTTTTGTTTTTTGTTATTACAAGTGATATAATGATTCTATTCATATATAATCAAAGCTAGTGATAAGAAAATATGGAGAAAAAAAATTGTAATATTTTCAACTAGATAAAAATATTCATTCCAAAAAATCATAGATAAAAAATAAAAAACCTAGTACAAAAACAAAATGTGAGATGTCTGTGATGAAACTTAGAGATTCGGCATATTCACGCTACCACCAGCATCAGACGGAGGTGGAGGTGGATCTTCCGACATGGCACCAAGGAACCATTCGTCGTGTCTCAAATTCTCAAGCACATTCATCGATGTTGTTTCAAGCTTTGTTAGCATGTTCTCTACAAGTGAGTTCAATCCATTCAAGTGATACAATTCAACTTCGTTGAAATAATCGTCCATGTGATCTTGTTCCCTTAGTTCGTTCATCAATTGCCGAGATTCTTGGAGTTCGCATCTCCTTTCCCATTTCGATACATTTTCTCTCTCCTTTTTCGTTATTTGCTCCATGAATTTCTCGTGCTTAACCATTCTTCTTCTTTTCTTGAAATCTGAACAATCGAGAAATTTATGCAGCCTATCTCTAAAAATCGGAGGGGATGGCCACAACATTGCGTTGTCTTCTCCTAAATCGTAACGATGATGTCGTTGTTTGTGGATTATTATTGCAACCTCGACTCCACAAAGGGTGGATAGTTCATTTTCTTTCTTGACCAAACCGTCTGTCTTTTTTTCAAATGTTTCATTTCTCTTGCTCTCATTAGGTATTAGTTCATGTTTGGTCCTTGCTCTTGCCATGGTATTGTTTTGATGATTGTATATTTATGATTTATCTATTATTTTTTGGATTATTTTCTCATGTAATTTGGATATTGGCTCATCTATTATATAAAAAATGAATGAATTATAAGTTTATAACTGCTGGCAACTAGTAATTATGAAATCTGTTGACAAATAGTTGCACTAATATATGATATTTATTTAAGACGATTTTGATGATTGTATATTAAATGCAATTCCAAATTAATTGATTAATTTTAATCAATTTTGTTATATAATTTTCATTATGACATTCCTCCATCAAATAATTGTCGGGCCAAAAGATGGGATCCTGGGGTGGGAAATTTCGCCTTTTGGTACATGGTATAGGATTTTCAACTTGTATCTTTAATTGACAGGGTTATAAATTAAATACATATATCACATGAATATCCATGGCAAACATGAAAATTTCCAATTTACTTGTGTAAACCAATTTCTCCATATGTCAATTAATTTTAGGGAAATTGTGAAAAAGTTAATGATGAGACTTCAGAGCACTTAATTGAATTTTTTTTTTTTTTTTTTTTTTTAGGCAGAAGAATTTATTAGGCCAAATTGGCTAGAGCAAAGGGAAGGGAGAATTCCTCCATTACAGATTGTTCCAAGCTTTGTGGCAAGAGTGTGTGCCATCAGATTACCACTTTCACTGGACAAAAGAAAAATACAAAAATCAAAAGATCTAGCTAAAATCAAGCAGTCTCAACATAAGCTTCAAACGACGAGGGTATGGAATCTCCATCATTAAGTGCGTTAATAACTTGCAAGCAATCCCCTTAATTCCAATATAATCGAACTCCAGCCTTTTAATCTCGCCCACGAGATAGCTTCAAGCGCCGCTTGTGCTTCAGAGTCTATCGCGTGTGGTTGACCCGAAAACTTTCGAACTGTCCACCCACGACATTCTCCCTTCCAATCCCGTGCAATCATTGAAACTACATGATAGTTCTCTCCGTAGGGTAATGCCGCATCGAACACTTATTTATTCTTCTGTGTTGTAAATATATTTATCCATCCAACACTTATTTGTTACTACGAAAAAAAATCTCATATATATCAAAATTACCTCTAATCCCTTGAAACCGTAATTCATCTTCAATATCATGATTTAAACAGATTTAGCATAAATTTCTCCAATCAACCAATTTTGACTGTTACCGTTGACCTTTTTTCTCTCTTGATTTATTTTCCTGATTTTTTTTATCCCACCATCATGCTATATACACGGACTCTTCAAAAACAAGAGGAGTCCAAGTGTCGGACACCCGACTTGTGCGAACTCGCCAGCTCGGACACAGTGTCGGTTCGTATCCGAATTTACATAAAGTATCGGGGTGGGGTGTCGGGGCCGTTCTGCAAAAATATAAAAATTTGTACACTTCGAGTCCAACTTGGACACGGCTGAGAGGTTTTACACGTTTCTTTTAAAAAAAATACCATAATTGTGTATCTTCTATTTGGAATCTTTCATTCTTTTGTGTGTTTTATTTTCTAATTAATACGGGAAACAACAGAAAACAGAAACATAAAAATCTTACAGAAGCTTTTCTTTCGTTTCTTATAAGCCTTGCTCCATTAAACAAAAAAACAACTCTAATAAAATCAACTAGGGCGGCGACATCGAGTGGGCGCCTGGCTGGTGACAGTAAATTGCAATTGCCTGATTACAGATTATTGTAATATGAATTTTCAATCTACCAGTAGTAGTGTTAATTCCACATCGGCCACTACAAAAACTAAGGATAACGATTTCCACCTTTTCTGGAAATATGTGGTTAAACTTGGTAAAGCGGGGGAAGGTGTGGGTGGTAATTGTAGACGGTTGTGTAATATTTGTAATGGTGAAAAAATAGGGAGTTACATCAGAGTTATGGTTCACTTATTCCAAATAAGTAATAGGGGGCCTTAGGATATATGTCCCTAGTGACAAAACTTATTTGAACTAAATGACAAGGTCAATTAAACATTTGCTTCACATTCTTTATAAAATTCATTCCAAAAATGCCCCTCCATTCACAAATTCGAAATAAACATTAAGTAAATTTCAAACTGCACTTATCATTTTATTTATTATGCATTTAATATTTCCTATCTTCATTTAACATTTTTTTATTTTTTTTTACAAGTATTTGTTTATCTTCCTTTTTTTTTTTCATTATTCATTTTAGCTTTTTATACACTACTATAAAAACTTCTTACTTTTTTTTTTCAATTCTACATAATATTGAAAATTACAACAACAACAAAAAATTGTTATTATTTTTATTTTTTTTCAATATACATATTTTCGATTTGTTTGTAGTAGACTATGGTATATTACAGTGTACTATAGCATACTACGGTGTACCTATACTACGGTGTATTATGTTTTACTACCAAACCCTAGCCGTCAACAACTCCCAGCAGTCGCGAACCATAGTAGTCAACGCAAACCCTAGCAGCCAACCCTCACAGCCACCGCGACCATTGTCGCCTACCAACATTGACAAAACCTAGATCTGCTATTTAAACCCAAACTAAGCAAATTATCTTAAACAAATAAGAAAATCAAATGCAATTAATTATTCAAAATAAGCTTTCAATAATATCCCAACCATAACCACAGCCCCACGCCGCACAACTCCATGTCGTCGCCATCATAGCCGTCGCCACCTACCATAACCACCGCCACCATAGTCGTCGCTACCTACCATAACCACCGTCATAGCCTCCATAATTATTCCAATATAATTGGATTTAATCGTTTATTAAATATAAATCTGTTAAAAGAAAAAAAAAAAAAAAAAAAAAGGGGGGGGGGGGGGGGGGGGGGGGTTGGGGGCCAAATGAGAAAAAGAAAAAGTTGGGTTTAATCTTTTTTTTTTGAAAAATATTGTAAAAAAAAAAAAAAAAAAAAAGGGGGGGGGTGGGGCCCCCCAACCCACACAAG